CTGATGCTGTATAATTTCTACTAGCAATATCTATGTATCAACTGTATTCCCCCTGAAAATACACCAATCCCTCCTCTGTCACTTCTTATGAATACATTGATACAGGAATTATATACACCAAGCTCATTTATACATACTGCAGAGTAACAATACCATTACAATATCTAAAACGGCAACTCATCTCCTTTAATTATATATCTAATTAATAAATGAACTCTGACTTAGCAAGGTCTATAAGGAGAACAATAAGACTTTGCGTCACTGCTGGTGTGGTCACTGAGTCGTAAACGTGTAAATGGTGTACACCGGTTATTGGCAGGTACATGTTGTATACACAGACGGACAGGTCAGTCAGGCCCATTCAATACAAGCTTAATACTTCAACCAGGCCAATGTAAGCTTCAATGTAACATGGGCATTCCCCTGCCCTTAAATCTGTGTGAATAATTCTATTAATGATGTCCTTACAAGTATTCTGAACCTATTTATACTAAAACCTCCAGATATTTTGGAATAAAGAAGAATTCAATATACCAAGTACCATTACAAAAATTAGTCTAATGGAGTACTGGTGTGTATTCACCACCATTACAGAAATAAGTCTAATGAAGTACTGGTGTGTATTCACAACCACTACAGAAATAAGTCTAATGGAGTACTGGTGTGTATTCACCACCATTATTTAACACCATCTGTCCAAAGGTGTACTAATACCTGTCTTATTGGCTGATCATTGTCAACAACAGGATACAGGTTTGTCATAGATCTTGAGATGTCGCTTAAAGTCTGTGGCTAAACCAGCTCAAGGTGGATACAAACAGCTCAAGGTATAGATACAAATAACTTCAGGTGGATACAAATTAAAAAAAAAAAGGTTAAAATAAAACTTGAACGACCTTTAGAAAAATATTTGATAATTTATATCATGCTTGACTGACAAAACACACCCGATGTTTGAGCTTAAATTTCAGTCTTAACCTTGAACTATGGGAAGTGTTTATATTTAGGGTACACAAACAAACAATCACCTACATACACCTGTACATAACAGGTCCTGGCACATCAAATAGTCAGCCTGTTTCTTAATAAATTTGTGTTCTATGTTGAAACTGGAGACACTAGTGCTTATTTATGTCCCGTCTCCATTTTGACAATCCTGATTCAACATGTCAGAAGTGTTGAGCAGTCTATATATATAATATTCAAATCTTATCCTTTTACTGGTGATCTATAAGATATTCCACAGATCAGACAAACATAATGTGCCTAGGATTACACTGTTACATTTAATTTGAGGAACATACAAAAGGCTAAATCAAGGCGGAATGATTTTATGATTTTTATAACTGAAGTAACCTTCTATAAGTAAAGGCATGTATATTCTCAAGAATTTCTATGGACTAGTATACCAAAAGAATATGTTTTACATAATTTAAAATTCAAAGTTATCTCAAAATACTATTTAAAATCGTGAATAAACCCAATGCCGGCTCACTTTTCTTCTATCAGTTGTCATACGTGAGGTTTATGAGAATGTTTGTTTTTGAGAGTTATGTCAATAACCAAAAAGGACTATACTTTGTATGATCTGTTAGTTGGCTTATACTGAACACAAAAACAACCATCCAAAACTTGTATAAGATACTTATATCATTCAAACCTTCCCCAATTTAACACTAAGGAGATTTTATGGAGCAGGGTTTCGAGATAACCCTGATCAGTACCCAAAATCAGAAGGTCCTTGGCACATTCCCTCCTATCTATAATGTTCTGACTGTTGCTAGTTATCTTTGATTAAAATGCAGGACATTTTTTTCTAAAGTTTCATTTGAAAAATGCCAGATCATTATAGGTTTTGAACAACAAATCAATGCAAGACTACAATCAAACTTAACAATCTATTTGTATTAAGTGTTTAAACTGATTTACTAATCAGGTGAAAGTTGCAACCAGGCGACGTCATAGCAGCCAACTGTAGATCATACTTAATGCCTTAATAATCATACATATTAAACACCAATTAACTATTGAGCGGCGCTGAGTGGGTAAAACAGGCACAGATTACCGGTATAACAACAGTGTAGGTTGTATATCCCTGGATTACAGGATAATGGCGATACAAATCCCTTAATTATTAACCTAGTAGTAGCTCAAGGATAAGTGTAATTTAAAACATTTCGATCAATCAATTTTCTTTATCAAATCCTAAATTAATACATGTGGGCATTTTACTCCCATAGCATTAATATTGGCTGAATACACAGTCCAATACAGTATAATACATAGGGTTGCCTACACTATAGTCTGTATAATTTAGTAAAAACACCACTGATATAAGCTAGACCGTTATATAACGTATGTGTGTGTTAGATTACCTGATCAAATGTTTATTAACATATTAGACTTTTTATGTAAAGTGTGTACTCAACCATTCCCCAACACTATGATCCCGGAATCAAATTAAATCCATGACACGGATAGAAATTTAAAAGACTGGCTTTAATCTAAATATCTCAAGTTAATTTGTGTATATTTTTCAGTTCACTTTATGCTTTATTCCATTTGCTGTAAGTAAAGACCCCTTCCTGAGAGCTATACGAGAGCTGAGCTGGGGTATATGTATGCATCTACATGTATACGAGAGCTCAGCTGGGGTACATACATCTATACAAGAGCTCAGCTTGGGAAACATACATCTACGTGAGAGGTTGGCTGGGGAAACATACATCTATGTGAGAGGTCGGCTGTGTATATACATCTATATGAGAGCTTGGCTGGGGTACATATATATAAGAGCTCAGCTGTGTATATATATCTATATGAAAGGTTGGCTGGGGTACAATCATCTATAAGAGCTTGGCTGGGAAACATTCATCTATATGACAGCTCGGCTGTGTACATATATCTATATGAGAGCTCAGCTGGGGTACATACATCTATACAGAGCTCGGCTGTGTACAAACATCTATAAGATAGCTCAGCTGGTGTACATACATCTATATGAGAGCTCTGCTGGGGTACATACATCTATATGAGAGCTTGGCTGGGGTACATACATCTATATGAGAGCTTGGATGGGGTACGATACATCTATATGACAGCTCGGCTGTGTACATATATCTATATGAGAGCTTGGCTGGGGTACATACATCTATATGACAGCTCTGCTGGGGTACATACATCTATATGAGAGCTTGGCTGGGGTACATACATCTATACAAGAGCTTGGCTGGGGTACAATCATCTATGCTAGAGCTGGGATGGATTACATACTTCTATGTGAGAGTTTGGCTGGGGAAACATTCATCAATCAGAGACCTTAGCTGGGGAAAAAAACATCTATGTGAGAGCTCAGCTGGGGAAACATGAATCTATACAAGAGCTCAGCTGGGGAACATACATCTATACAAGAGCTTGGCTGGGGAACATACATCTATATGATAGCTCAGCTGGGATACATTAATACAAGAGATCAGCTGGGGCACATACATAGATCTATATGGGAGCTCGGCTTGGGCACATGCAATGATTAGGAGAAATTTATCATGAATGACAACCAACATTTTAACAACCCAATCAGTATGTCAATGATTAACATACTCTCAAACAAAACTCAAATAAAACTTTCAACACCAAAACTTGCAAACAATGAAATTAAATACCCAAAGTATAGTTCTATCCTTATTTTTGTTATGCAGCCACAGAAAGGAGGTAAGCTTAAAGGTAAATTTTCAAATTTCAAGTTTGGAAAACCATGGGCAAAAATATGAATATTTTATGTTTATAATATCTGTATTTTTGTATGTACTGTATTACCTGTATTTTTACATGTTTTACTGTTTTCAGTTCTCAATCATCATTAAGCTAACAGCTGAGTGACAGACCCATACCACATTGCTCCCAGTACAACTAGAGATTAGGACCCCGACACTTGAAACTCACTGGAAACTAAGGCACAGTTGGAGATTATAGAACCTATATCTATGTGTGTAAACCTGTGTGGTATAAATCTCTCACATAAACATAGTGTCAAGTTTTATATGGGCCTATAATGATTTACCCACACCAGCTATAAACTACTCCCAGTAAAATGTGAAACTTCTCCCTAAGCCTTTTATTGACTACAGCAAACCAGTGGTTGCTAAAATGGAAACATCTAGACCTGTTTATTAAATCTTATATCAAATGAAAACTTGTTTAAGACCTTCTGTTGATGATTGTTGATTATACCAGCAGGGTGTATGGCTTCGATAAGTTAATGTAGTCCAATATAATATGGACATTGAGGGTGCTTTAACTTGGAAAATCCCCAGATTTCTGAGTAATTTCTAGTTTCCAAACCATAGTAAGAGGCTTGGTTGGCCTGTATATTTTGTGTTGAGTATTTCTGTAACTCCTAATTTCTAGGTAAATCTAGTACAACTCAGTACTAAGGTCCTGGTGGTCCTTAAAATATCATATCAATTAATAAAACGAGTCTCAGGGGGCCGGACTGTAGTTAGTTTTGGTTTTATTCATTGCATTTAGTGTACTAGCAGTTTTCTACAAACAATGAACAATGTCAGTGGTTTGAGAAGTAGTGGTGTGTTTGCTCGGTGTTTTCTTCTCATGTGTATATAATATTGTATTATGTCAGTGACACAAATATATGGTCAAGATTTCTTAGTGTTCAACTCAAGTTTATTTCAAAACATTTATGAACATGTTTTATCAACTTATAAATATCAATCACCCCTAATGTTAGCCGAGATGGAAGTATATAGGGGTCTGGATGAAAAGCTTAGAAAGATCTGCCAAACACTATCTGTTCAGTCTGTTACAGAACATCGTAAACAAAACTCATCATCAGAACATCGTAAACAAAACTGATCACTACTTCAAACTCCAAAACAAGCTAACTTCAAATCAAATTTTTGAAAGTTTTCACTTTTGAGAATGACCAAGTGTCAAGCGAATTAAACCATAACACCGGCCTTTTCCTGGCCATGAGAAGTACATACCAAAATACACATCATCAAAATCTACATCCGTCTTATTGCCTGAAATGAAACGTCCAGTCAATGAATGGTCAAGTAGCCAAGTAAAGCAATCTTTTAAAAAAAGATCAAAGGTGTAAAAACTATGTTTGATGTATGACCAATAATTAGTTTTCAAATGATCTTGGACTTGAAAAATAAAGGTCAAAAGATATTCTTTTTTATCCTGACAATGTCTGTAGTTCTGTTACATTGGACCGAGCAGTCAGTTAAGATTTACAGAATGTTGCTGTTGAAGGGATCATATGATCTTAAGCACAAACCTTCGCTGTCTTTGAACTTCTTCACAGCAACCGTTTCACCGGACTCCTGAAAATACCAAAAAAATCATTATTAAAATACTCTCATCATCAAACAGCATGGCCATAATTCTGTATTTGGAACAAGTCAAGAGCTTAAACGACATCATCTATAATAAAAACCTAAACTTAATGCCGCACACACAGTTAATCATACAGCTAAACAATTAATTATGTATGGCATCCTGCTGAACAACACGCCACAGGTAGGACCAATGACGTGATCTCGCCTTGGCATCGCACACTACATCAAAAGCGCATCCAAATGATTTCTCGCATGAAACACCAAATTAACCACACACTAGAGTAACATGGCGAGGCTACTAATTTATGGACCCGAGTGGAGGAGTGGATCCGAATGTAGGTATCCGAGTATAGTGCTAACAGTTGCCTAGTGAAGTCAATAATATTTCTAAACGCCCCTGGTTACTGCCCGGAGATACACACTTAATGTCTGTGCTTGGTGATAGGCTCTATACGCATCACGCTTCATTACTCCACAAACACTGATTTATTCCATTTCATTTCTTGATCGAGCATTTTATTGTAAAATCATAGCGTAGGTTGTACTATTCACAAAGTTTGGTTATTCCACACAGTATAATATCTACATCATCAGTGATGTAGTAATAGTCTCTAGCAGCTCAAGTCCAAGTCGGCCAATTCTCAGGGAATTATAAAACTTCTTAACAATTTCTTACTCAAAATTACTAGTAATTTGAAACTCCTTTTTTAATTACACCTGTTTGAGAACAAAGAGAGGATGATGTAGCAGAAAGAGACCTGAAGCTTTGATCTAATATTGAATTTCCTATAAATTATACAACAGGACAGATAAGAGGAGGAAACAGTCAACATTACAATAGAACAATGAAAAAGATAAGGTACCGCCCGAACCAACACAGATACGTTAGAAATTCACCTACAGCTGGTCATCACTGCCCCTCACACACAGTGTGTTTACGGGGAATATTGGTCGAAGAGTCCGCTTTTACAACATAGATAATACAATACAGTTAAAAACGACTGTTTTACTGTTTATTTCCCCCGTTTTGACAATAAAATTGTCTTCTGTGTATGATACCAGGTAGTCATAAGCAAGGCTATAATATAGAATTTATCTCAAAACTGCCATAGTGAATGTTAGTGCTACATCATCATGATCTATTATTCTCAGCCCAGCTACAATGAGATATTAAATAGTTATCAACATACAGGCCCACAGTTACTGTTCTCAATGTAAGAGTTCAAAATAGTTCTATCATTGTTTTATACAGTGTAATTATCTAAAACTGAACAACATTTGAATGTAGTTCCCTTTAAATTATTTATTTATAAGACAGAATCCTTAATATAGAGAAAACTAGCATACTAAAAATCTAACCTATCAAAAACTTTGGACTCAACTCAAGGCTTTAAATGAGTTGATTCCCATAATTTCCTATTCCCTATTTCGAAGGGATATTTTTACCCTTCTTTTTGACATATTTAAAATCAACTTATTTCCTTACAACTTATAATTGCTTCTTCCTTTATTTAGTGAATACATCAGATCAGCTTTGTTAATGTGATTTTACACTTTGAGTAAATTTTAGACACTTTTTTTTATATTGCTTCGTGGTATTTCCTCATGAAAAATACAAATTTGGCAACTATATTGGCCAAACATCGCATCAACAATTTTAAAAAGTTAGTTTAGACAAAGGTAGGACAACAGGCTTAAACAAGTCCAATACTTTATTTACAAAAATTAATGCAACGCATGATCATCAAAAGGAAATAAATGACGACATGTTGTAAAAGTCCATTAAACATTCTCCCTTTGTCGCCCTGTCTACTGGTAAATTAACACTACAGCATATCAGGGACTGGTTATGACCACCTTTGAACTTCTGAACACTTGTTTTTATATGAAACAAGTCCAAGGAATGATCAACCTCAATATTAAGCTACAAAGTACACTTAAGTAATGTCAGAAACCAGAATCCTGACACACTGTAAAATCTGGCCATTGTCCAGGTCATATCACCTACAGACCAGTGTACACGGTATTAATCTTACAAGCTTTTCCTGTCATCAGAACTAATCCAATTTCAGCACAGTTTACAGTAGATTATAGGCACAACCCCTATCTATTAGTCCTTCTTCTCACCACTAAACCTCAAACACGAATCTAATCAATTCCATCAGAAATGAAAATGGATTGAAGTTTGACAAACACTGTCATTTTATTCTCATATATGAATTTATTTGTTACATTGAAAAGAGATCAACAAATATATAGGAGAAAAATTATTTCTTCCGGTTTAATTTTCAGTCACACTACAACTGTATGCAGAAAATGTTTACTACATAAATGAGCCGAGAGCTTGAGCACACAGAACATTCCATGGGGAAGTAGATTGGTCAGCTACACATCAGATTTACATTAATAGGAGCTAATTTACAGTCATATTTAATAGGGATTGAAGATCGGCCTCAGTGTATGGTTGGTATCATGGTGTCAATATCATTATTTTTTGTGTTGAGTGTCATCAATTTTTGTGTAAAATTGTGTCATTATTATCTGTGTTAATAGCATCATTTCCTATATGTTAAATAGTAACCATTTTTCATGTCATGATTTTATTTGTAAAAGTTCATGGTTGTCCATTATCAATGTTGGAATTTTTAGTGTTAAATTTCATCATTTTTTATCCACTGGTGTTGAACATATTAAATATGAGTGTCTAATTGACAAAAAAAGACCTAAGATTAATTGGTATTACGGCCTATTATTTACTGTCACGTTTTGTTGCATTTACCCGGTTTTACTACAGCCTACTAGGTTTCTCATCCGTACCGTGACTGCCGTGGCAGATTCTTTGACAGTTAAAAAATCTGGCCCAGCAACAATAGCAATCACGGCATGTCACGTTGGCCCATTCTGTACCCCCGCGTTATCTCACGTCCATCCCGTTTTGTCAACGTTGACCTGAAACGTGATTGCCGTGGCCACCGGGAACATAATGTAAACGTAGCAGTAACTACTATGGGAATCATTGTGTAACTTGTTAATCTTAACAGGACTTTAAGTCAGGATGGCAGATTCTGTGTTCAGCGTAAGACGTTGATAGTATCTGATATAGTATAATACCATGTCTGAACTTCTGATTTCACAAGCCTCTGGTAATGTAAAATCTTATTGATATCATTCACAGTAAGAACTGAATTTATGATAAAAAATTACCTGCCTATGGAGAAACAGAGGGCCTTTTAGAATGTCCATGCATAGAGATTGATAATAGAGAAACTCAGGTGGTTTTAACCTGTCAGGGTACACACAATGGTGTTTATATAATATGTGGGTCCACTACTAGTCCAGACACGGGGTACACACACTGGTGTTTATATAATATGTGGGTCCACTACTAGTCCAGACACAGGGTACACACACTGGTGTTTATATAATATGTGGGTCCACTACTAGTCCAGACACGGGGTACACACACTGGTGTTTATATAATATGTGGGTCCACTACTAGTCCAGACACGGGGTACACACACTGGTGTTTATATAATATGTGGGTCCACTACTAGTCCAGACACGGGGTACACACACTGGTGTTTATATAATATGTGGGTCCACTACTAGTCCAGACACGGGGTACACACACTGGTGTTTATATAATATGTGGGTCCACTACTAGTCCAGACACGGGGTACACACACTGGTGTTTATATAATATGTGGGTCCACTACTAGTCCAGACACGGGGTACACACACTGGTGTTTATATAATATGTGGGTCCACTACTAGTCCAGACACGGGGTACACACACTGGTGTTTATATAATATGTGGGTCCACTACTAGTCCAGACACGGGGTACACACACTGGTGTTTATATAATATGTGGGTCCACTACTAGTCCAGACACGGGGTACACACACTGGTGTTTATATAATATGTGGGTCCACTACTAGTCCAGACACGGGGTACACACACTGGTGTTTATATAATATGTGGGTCCACTACTAGTCCAGACACGGGGTACACACACTGGTGTTTATATAATATGTGGGTCCACTACTAGTCCAGACACGGGGTACACACACTGGTGTTTATATAATATGTGGGTCCACTACTAGTCCAGACACGGGGTACACACACTGGTGTTTATATAATATGTGGGTCCACTACTAGTCCAGACACGGGGTACACACACTGGTGTTTATATAATATGTGGGTCCACTACTAGTCCAGACACGGGGTACACACACTGGTGTTTATATAATATGTGGGTCCACTACTAGTCCAGACACGGGGTACACACACTGGTGTTTATATAATATGTGGGTCCACTACTAGTCCAGACACGGGGTACACACACTGGTGTTTATATAATATGTGGGTCCACTACTAGTCCAGACACGGGGTACACACACTGGTGTTTATATAATATGTGGGTCCACTACTAGTCCAGACACGGGGTACACACACTGGTGTTTATATAATATGTGGGTCCACTACTAGTCCAGACACGGGGTACACACACTGGTGTTTATATAATATGTGGGTCCACTACTAGTCCAGACACGGGGTACACACACTGGTGTTTATATAATATGTGGGTCCACTACTAGTCCAGACACGGGGTACACACACTGGTGTTTATATAATATGTGGGTCCACTACTAGTCCAGACACGGGGTACACACACTGGTGTTTATATAATATGTGGGTCCACTACTAGTCCAGACACGGGGTACACACACTGGTGTTTATATAATATGTGGGTCCACTACTAGTCCAGACACGGGGTACACACACTGGTGTTTATATAATATGTGGGTCCACTACTAGTCCAGACACGGGGTACACACACTGGTGTTTATATAATATGTGGGTCCACTACTAGTCCAGACACGGGGTACACACACTGGTGTTTATATAATATGTGGGTCCACTACTAGTCCAGACACGGGGTACACACACTGGTGTTTATATAATATGTGGGTCCACTACTAGT